AGCAGATCAGCAGCAGCAGCAGCAGCAAGCTAGCAGCAGCAAAAGCTTGGCAGCTAAAGCAGCGGATCAACAACACAGCAGCAGCAGCAAATCAGCAGCAGCAGTGAAGCAGCAAGGCAGCAACAAAACAGCAGCAGCAGCAGCAGCAGCAAAACATCTGCAGCAGCAACTCCGTAACAGCAAGTTAGCAGCAGCAGCATCACACCAGCAGCCGTGCGGCAGCAAACCAGCAACAACACAACACCAGCACAACAAAGCAGTCATCACAGCAGCAGCAGCAGCAGCAGCAGCAGCAGCAGCAGCAGCAGCAGCAGCAGCAGCAGCAGCAGCAGCAAACCTGGGCGACTCCCAAGTTGCCGTTTGCCTGGACAGCAACAACGGAGGGTTTTATATTTCCATTTTCGATTTCTTCCAATTTAATAATTTGAACAGAAGTTTCCATGTGGCCCACATCCACGAGGCCTATGTGCAGCACCTGCTGCTGCTGCTGCTGCTGCTGCTGCTGCTGCTGCTGCTGCTGCTGCTGCTGCTGCTGCAGCAGGTCGTAGAAGGCCCCCGGCAGCTGCCGCGCACACCAGCAGTTCGCCAAAGCAGCAGCACGAGTCAAAACCACCAACTCCAAACCCTCGTCCAGTTTTGCTGCTGCTGCTGCCAGCAGCAGCTGCTGCGCTGCAGCAGCAGCAGCAGAGCAAGGCACTGCCACCGCCAGCGCCAGGGGGCCCCCCTGGGGGGCCCCCTGGGGGGCCCCCTCAGGGGGGCCCCCCCGGCCGGAGTTGGCGAAGGAAACTAAAGAACGCAAAAAGTGGCCTATTGCCACTACCACGGGGAGCTGCACGCAAACCCTAAACCCTAAACCCTAAACCCTAAACCCTAAACCCTAGACCGTAAGCGCGGGGCGCGGGCGGCTGCCGTGGGGGCTCGCGTGGGCCGCGGCTGCAGGCCGCGCCCGCGGGGGCCGCGCCCCCGAGGGTTTAGGGTTTAGGGTTTAGGGTTTAGGGTTTAGGGTTTACGCGTTTGTCGCCGTGGGGAGTGTGCAGCAGCAACTCGAGACCCCCCAAACCCTCAGCTAGCTGGGGTTTGGGGCTGAAGGGGAAGCTGCTGCAGAAACCCTCAGCAGCAGCTAGCGAGTCTATGGCTAGCCAGCTAGCCAACTGCAGCAAACAGCTTTCCGGCAAAGAAGACTGGCGAGCTTCTGCTTCCTCCCCCACCACCCTGAGCAGCAGCAGCAGCAGCAGCAGCAACAGCAGCAGCAGCGGAGGCTGAGCAGCAGCAGCAGCAGCGAAAGCGGCAGCAGCAGCAGCGAAAGCGGCAGCAGCAGCAGCGAAAGCAGCAGCAGCAGCAGCGAAAGCAGCAGCAGCAGCAGCAGCAGCAGCGCTGAAAGCAGCAGCAGCAGCGGCGAAAGCAGCAGCAGCAGCAACGGTGGAAGGCGGTGGCAAGGGTTTAGGGTTTAGGGTTTAGGGTTTACCTGGTGACGCCGTCAAAGGCCACAGCGCTGGGGGTTGATCGGTTAGCCAATCTGTTGACTTCAATAGTCACTGAATTAGGGTTTGCTGCTGCTGCTGCAGCAACCACGCTGCTGCTGCTGCCCAAATCAATGCCTACGCAGTAGCCCTGCCGCTGCCGCTGCCGCTGCTGCTGCTGCTGCTGCTGCTGCTGCTGCTGCTGCTGCTGCTGCTGCTGTGGGTCTGGGGAAGACGCAGTTGATGGAACGTCAGACATTTTTGAAAGTTAAATAAATAAATAAATTAAAATTAAAATTCAAACTGCGGGGTCTCTGGATCCCAAAAAGGCAGACGCAAACCCTAAACCCTAAACCCTAAACCCTAAACCCTAACACTACACCGACGCACGAAAGGAGCGAGCCTGCGCAGAAACAACTAGGTGTACGTACACCTCAAATTTCAAAAGAAACAATTCTGCATTTTTTAAACGCAAAGAAGACACGACAAAACCCTAAACCCTAAACCCTAAACCCTTGTGGGGCCCCTGCGGCTGACGCAGCCCCCACGGGGCCCCAGCAGGCAGCTAGGGTTTAGGGTTTAGGGTTTGGGGTTTATATTTTAAACAACTCTGCTCTTCTCTGTTATAAATCCTATTTCTAGCCATTTTTTTCGTTTAATCCAGCGTCTACCAGCTGCTCAGGGTTTTAGGGTTTAGGGTTTAGGGTTTAGGGTTTAGGGTTTCGCTTACAGGTGGGCTCAAACGCAGGTTTCCGAATACACACAAACCCTTCTTGAGCGCTGCAAACCCTCGCGAGCTTTGAAGCCTTCCGTGCCTCCGGGGGCCTCCCCTTCACCCCCTAGGGTTTAGGGTTTAGGGTTTAGGGTTTAGGGTTTAGGGTTTACGATGGAAGTAGCAATTCGCTGCGTAGGCCTATCTCACATCTACAACCGCCCGTGGGGCTTCTCAAGGGCCCCTCAGGGGGCCCCCCATGGGGGCCCCCAAGGGGGGCCCCCCGAGGGGCCCCCGGGGGGCCCCCCGGGGGCCCCCCTTGGGGGGG